TTTCACATTTACAAAAATTTAATAAAGATAAAGATAATTTAAAAGAAATCAGTACAAACAAAAAGTGTAAACAGGATTTGAAGTTAAAATAAAAAGGTGGACTTGTAGCTTCAGCGTGTTAATCAGCAGGAATGAAATGCTCTTACCTGCTCTTGTCAGTGATTTGTTGTTGCATCATGCGTAACTTGGCAGGTGGGATGTAAGCGCCACCAGTCCTCGTTAGGATTGGATCAAGTTCCTCCTTTTTCTTCTTAACAGGAGGCTCGTCAGCGGTGCTGGGCTCCTTGACACGGGGAGGGGACAGTGAGCGGCCCCGCCTTCGGTCGTAACGCCCGTCCCTCTCATAACGCCAAGCATCATGGCCATCTCTGTACATGAACAAAAGAACAAAATTTACTCACGTTAGAGCTGCAAAATGTTGCAATGATCCTTTAGCTCATGTAAGTTTATTTTGCTCAAACTCTCATTAAAAACCACCAACGAGCCACTCCAAGGATGTCRAGGAACGTAGTCATTTTTATTTAAATAACGCCAGATACAGTCGAGAGCTTTGCAGTCACTCTTCCACATCTACCTCTCCTTAGACTTGATAGGGAAAAAAGACGGCGCAGAGCAAGACTGTAAGCGTTGTGTGCGGTCCTCACAAAGATAGAAAGACATGTATGTGTGATGTGACTCGTGACAAAAACTGTCCGTTCTTTTTTTTCACATCGTACTGATGCGACAGCTTTGTAAGCTACTTTTTTTATTTCAAGGAAGATGAAACAGACGAAGCCACAACAACTTTATCATTATTACAGGGCTGTACGTTAACCTTTTTAGCTCGTAGCACCGGTGCTACAGAGGTTGATGATTTTGTAGCACAGAACAAAAAGTTGTAGCACCAGAATAAAATGTCTGTTCTGATCACTACAACCAAAGGCCTGAATGGTGAATTTGGTGAGTATTGTTGTAGGACAGAAGTCACCAAACATTTTGAGACGGAGATCTACTTCAGGAGAGTAACACAAACAGAGCTGCAACTAACGATTATTTTAATAATCGATTAATCTGTCGATTATTTTTTTGATTAAKCAATTAATYGGCCAAATCATTATAACTAGAGGTGTCCCGATACCGATACCAGTATCGGTAGAGAAACAACCGTAGTTTAATGTTTTTTTTACCCTGATCGGAGTCTGACAAACTTGTTTTTCTTATTAACTGTGGAGATGAAAACAAGATGTGGACGGTTGCTCATTCTTTAGTCCATCTTGTTAATTTAACAGTCGAGGTCTGAGCGCTGCAGATCATTTCAGCAGCATGAGGAAGCTCATGTATGGCAGGCTGCTGTTACACTTAATCAGTTTCACCACAGTTACATTCCAGGTATCTGAAATGGGTTCTTCTGGGTCTCAGGAGGATAAAACTAGCGTTTTAGATGTTCAAAACATGTTCTGTGTGTGTTGTTCAGTGTGTGTTGTTCTGTGTGTGTTGTTCAGTGTGTGTTGTTCTGTGTGTGTTGTTC